GACTCGGTGTGTTCAGTCAGCCAAGCGGTAAGGTATTCCAGTTACTTTGTATCCCACTCTCTCTTCCTGGGTTGTTTCCTATTCCTTTCCCCTTTTGTAAATAAACCCGTTATTGACCCTTTTGTGTGTACCTGAAGTATAACTGAATTGTGAGCGCGGGTGAGACCCCACAGACAGGCGGCCCAGTCCACTCTGGGCTACCCTGTAACAGTATCACTGACCTAACACACTTGATGGCTTTAGGCTCGGAAGCCTGCAAAGGCAAGGAGCTAGTCCTTTTCCTTGTCATCTAGTGAGGCACGTTTAGGTTGTATAAATAGATGTATAAAATGCAGAATGTATAAAATGCAGATGTGATTCTGATGGTCCAATGGCACACCTGCAAATGCCTTTGGCATTGATAAAGACAAAATAAAAAAATGACTAGTTATTACTCTAAGTATTTATATGCATCCTATTTAATCCATGTAGTAAGTCCACAAGGAAAGGCTTGTCATTCCCATTTTGTTGTTTGAATAGCTGAGGTCTCAAGGGTTGAAAGACCATGGAATCTGGGATCAAACCCAGGTCTGGTGGGCCCCAAAACTTGCCCTGCTAAGGCCCAGCGCGTGACTGGCACTGTGGATACATTTTCTATTACCTGCATCTCCTGGGAGCCACAACCCTGCGCTGGGATCCTCTCAGATGTTGACGGCTTCTTGCCTCCCACACCCTGTGACGTGGGCACCTGTGGGAGCTGAGGAAACCAAGGAGTTCACGAATCTGAGGGAGCCCGATGGGGCTGAATCAAGTCATGCAAGAAAACAGGAACATTTGGATGGAAGAGAAAAGGTTCCAAGGTGGACCCTGAGCGCCATTTTCAAATATTTAAAAAAGTTGTAATGGTAGAGGTACACTTATTCCTAGGGATTCTTGAGGACAACAGCAAATAAACATGCGTTAAATGCCATTTATTATCCTACTAATAGAAAGTAGAGCATTCCCCATCTCTGGACGTATGCAAGCAGATATGGGTATGTCCACAACTCAGGCATTGTAGAAGGAGTTCTGGCATCAGACGAGGATGGACTAGGAGGTAAGACCCCACCTCTGCCATCCTGGAAGTCTGTGATATGATCTTCATGAACCTGGGACTTGGCCCACAGCTTCAGCTATTACTTATAACACACCATCCTGGCCCTCGAGCCTCAGCCTCTGGGAGCTCAGCCCAGCGTAACCATCTTGGGTAATCACAGTATTTACTGGTTTGAGGACTGGGCACCTGTCCCCAGGTACCTGGCATTAGGGGAGTTGCTGGGACCCAAGGGCCTGGCAGCTAAGCCAGCCCTGGCTTTCATCAGGGAGGAGAGGATCCTGGGAGGAGGATGTGCTGAGGCTCCATCACATGGAGGGAGGTGGGAGGTGGGAGTTGCACTGTTCCTCTGATGCAGCGGGGGAAAGATGTGGCCAAGCAGGCTGTCTGCACAGAGGCTGGAGGCACAGGACCTGTACCGGCCAGCGAACCCCTGAACCAGGGCAGCTCTGACCCTGACCCTCCCTGTTGCAAAACCTTTCCAAAGCACTGCACTGCCCAGCAGATCATAAACAGGATGGGTCTTGTTTGGCCGATAGTGTTTAAAAAAAACTGAGCAACAATTACAAATGGGCCTGACTTCTGGTTTCTAAAGCAAGAGGCGGGAGTAGCCCTGGGAATTCGTGCCTCCCGGCAACCACACATCTAAGCTCTACTGGGGGGGGGGGCACTCCCTTCCGGTGGACCTCAGGGTCTCAGTTAGCCACAGTCTCCTCTGCTCCCTATTGCCCTTATTATACTGAGGCCAAGGGCATTTCACAACACAAAAGGCTAACAAGAGTGGGAAGTGAATGGTATGCTGAGACAGACTTGCGTTTCAAAAAGCAGCTGAGAGGGCACATGTCTTTGTGAAGCGTTGATGTGGGGCCCTCCCTGGTGGCACAGCGGGTTAAAGCACAGCACCAAGAAACTAAAGCCACTTCAGCATGAGTTCGATCCCCGCCCTGGAGGTGACCCACATGGCGTGGCAGACCTCTCCTGACCCTCCCACTGCTCCCCTCAGTAGTGTACTTTGTCAGTCAGCCTGTTCTGCTCCCTACTCTGTCTCTGGTGAATCCTCTCACTGCCCCACACCTCTGGCCTGTACCCCAGTTCTGTATGCATAAATTAATAAATCTTTTTTAAAAAGTTGATACGGCTGCTTCTCTTATTCACCTGCCTGAGCAGCCTGGAGCCTGATGTCCTTTGTGTTTGATCCTTGGCCTACAAAGCCCTCAGGCCCTTTGTGAGTCTACCCCCAAATCAAGAAGCAGATCTGTGTGAACTTAGAATTACAACTTCCTATGGAGCTACCTTCTCTTAGAAGTTTCATAAAGAAAAGTTGCTGCAAAATTTTGCCTAAAAAGTCTTTTTTTATTTTACATAATTAAAAAACTCAGAGGCTGCAACTCCAAAATCCTAAAATAAGTTCTCTTCCAGAAAGCAGCTCCAGAACCCCAGGCTTCTTTCAGGGGCTTCTCTGAACTCCACTCCCCTCCAGACTATGGGCTCTGGTGTATGCTGCCCAGCCCCGTACCTAGGAGGAACCCCACAGTGTGCTGGATAAGCTGTAGAAGAGCAGGCACGGAACCCCACTCACTTTCTGTTAGGCCACTGTGTGTTTTGAAAAATCAAGACCTGAGAGAGTCTGATCTCAAACTCCTCCTGTCCCTGGAATGTTTATCCAGGCTGGGATCCTGGTTGAGCAGCTCACTCCACACTCCAGGGCCCGCTCTAAGGCTTGGTGTGAAAGAACAGTCCCCCGTGAAGCTTTCTCCAAGGGGAAGGGGTCAGAAGAGGGAGGCCACGTCTTGCTGCTGGCAGCCAGGAATCATTGGCTGAGACAGGGAAGAGAAGGCAGCAGCTGGATGTTGGGGTACCAGCTATCACAACCCTGGGGAGTGGCTCTGGGACCCAAGGAGGGCTTCAAAGATGAAGTCAGAGTTCCAAGATGAATGGGTGAGCCTTAGAAACTAAAATGAGACTGTCTTAACAGCAGGAGTGGGAGAGCTAGGGACCTCCACAGACATCGTTAAGGGAGCAGCTCCCCAGTGGGGAAGCTGGTGTTGACAAAATGAATTTTCAAGCACTTATTGGAAAAATTAAACTATTTTGTGTTTCTGCTTCAAAGGGTTGAGACTCTTGGATCAAATCCATTATATTTAAATATTTACATGAACAAGTACATGTTTGTATATGCAGGGATCTTCCGAGAGGACATAGGAGAGATGCAGTAAGTGCCTTTCTGGGTCTTTAGCAGGCACAGGGGAGAGACAGAGAGAGGGCAGCTACTTTTCACCTTATCTTTTGTATCTTCTGAATTTTTTTTAAGCCACAGTCTGGTATGGGCACATTTTTTCCCCAAAGATTTATTTTTTATTTATGCATACAAGAATTGGGGTACAGGCCAGAGGTGTGGGGGGATTCACCAGAGACAGAGTGGGGGGCAGTGGGCGGGTCAGGAGAGGTCTGCAGGGCCATGGGGGTCACTTCCCTGGCTGGGGATCGAACTTGTGCTGCAGTGGCTGCGGACAGCTTCAGTGGTACTGCATTTATACCCGTTGTACCACCAGGGAGGGCCCTGGGCAAGTGTTTTTATAATGGCAAATGTTGTTGACCTGATGGGGTAGAATGGATTTCTCCTCCGATGGCTCATAGTGGAGGTAAAACTGGCCGCCTGCTGCCCCACCACTCTTAGAGCTTGGGTGACAGTGGTCACCTGAAGTTTGCTGGCAGTGCCCGGCGGGTGGGATGGCCGGCCCTGTGGGTCAGCTTTGTCACATCACCAGGCAGCCCCTTGCTCTTGGGGTCAGAACTAGCTGCTCTTCAGTTGAGTCCCAGTTTTTCCTCAGCTGCCCTTGGGAATGTGACAGAGCAGGGTCTAGGAAGTGGGGGGCTGGGGAGCGGGAAGGGCGGCGTCACACCCCTGCTGAGTAACAAAACACCCTAAATAACAGAACTATACCTACTGGATTCTTGACAAAGCAAAGGATGTAAGTCCCATACTTCATGGGTGGGGAAACTGAAGCTGGGAAATACAGAGGCCAGGCTCAACTTACCAGTGGGGTCCAGGATCCTTTGGGTAGCACGACCCTCCTGAAACAGGACCACTGTGGCCCTATTGCATCTTTGTGCAAACTAGAGGAAAAATGCCCCCTCAAGATACTTCATTCTGTGGGAAAATTAGGACCCAGTATGTTGATTTTATTAGCATCAGACTCTTCCGCGCCATCTGCTGGAAGCACCTCCCAGGAAACACAGCCTGTGTGCTGTGTGTGGGCAGGGCCCGCCCTCCTAAGACGCAGGGCTCTGGTCCAGGCGCTTACCCACCCAGCCTTGCATGACCGCGTGGGTTCAGTCACGCGACCCCAGCCTGCAGTCATTCCTTTCCTGCCTGCACGCCACCGTGTGTCCCAGGGGAGGCCTGTGCTGAACTAACCTCAGTCTCAGCCCGGATACACCCTTCTGAAGTTCACAGGCAGACAGGGACTCGGGGCTTCATCTTCCTTCGAGCCTTCCTCCCGCTCATCTCCTATGGGCAAGCAAGTTCGTGGCTGAGCCGGCCCCTCTCCCCCCCACACACTGCCGGGATAGCAGAGACTCACTGGGAACCATCTCCCCACACGACCCTCTCCTAGGTGAGGGCCCCTGGCAGGCACAAAGGACTGTCCCCTGAACATATGACTAGTAATGCGCTGAGGGCACTGACTGGAGAGCAGGGACTGGGCCCCGCGCCAGTATGGGCTCGAACTCGCTGTGTGACCATGGGGAAGTTCTTCTCCCTCTCTGAGCCAATTTTCCCTTCTGTGAGAGAGAACGTTGCTGATTGAGCTCTGACCGTGACTACCCCTTCAAACTCACAAATTGTGAGAAAAGCAGGAAGGTCATTGGAAAGACAGCCGAGAAGACAGCAGAATACAACCTGGGATTTTTTTATTAGACTAGGAAATATAATTTATTTCATAAAAATTAATTTTGTTACAAGAGGAATGCTAAACGTTATTTACAGGTTGTCGTTTACAGAATAAACAGAGGTGGGATTGGGGTCATTCCTGGAACCCCAAACACCCCCTTCCCCTGGACATATAATGATGCCCACAGCCCAGGCAGGGGATCCAGCCCTTTGCCCCTAGGAGAGCTGCTCCTGCACCCGAGTTCCAGGTCACCTCCCCTCAGAGGGCCTGCCGAGGGGCCTGGCTCAGCTGCCTGGGGCGGGAGGAGAGAACCAGAGAGCCCTGGATCATCCAGGAGATGGGGAGGGTCCCTGCCTGGGAGCTCTGGAGCCTGGAGCACTTTGAGAGAAGGCAGAGGGAGAGGCACGTAGAAGATACACCGACTGACCCTGTGGACTCAGAGAGGGCAGAGCACAGGCCCGCCAACCTCCAAGCGTCCACGCTTGGGACACGAGGAAAGCAGGCGCGCGCACACACACACACGCACACACACACACACACACACGGGGTGCGCCCTGGTGTGCCTGTGAATAAAAGCACACGCACAGGGCACGTGCATCATGTACAAACACCCCCTGGAGAGGAGACGGAACGCCCATCCGAGAGCCCTGCAGGCCGGGCTCCAGCACCTGACCGCAGCTCTCAAGGCACCTGGCCACGTGAGGCTGCCTCTTGGACCCAAATAAGAGAAGCCTCACTCTCGCCCTGAGGCAGGCGGAGAGGGCGTAGTCACGCAACCTCAGCAAATTGATGGAGCCAGCAAACCCTATCCCAGCTTTCTTATAAAGCTGGGCAGTTTGAACCCTCCTAGAAGGCTCCTGCCAATATTTTCTGTGCTCCAGGCCTTGGTACACAGTTTTTGAAGATCAGATTAGAAATGGCACAGGGGTGACTCCTCTGACCTCATCCACCCAGAGGCCCCCTCCAGGGCGCTGGAGTGAGAAGGCTTCTGAGGGCAGGGCAGGGGAGGGCAGGAAGAGTGGGGGCAGAGGCATGGTTGATTCCTGCCCGCTAGGGTTCCCCCATCAGAAGCCTACAATCAAAGCCTGTCGTTACCCAACAGGCTTCGGACAGCAGCCACGGGGCCCCGAGAAGGGCCCCGAGAAGGCAGTCCCATGCCTCGGGGTCACACAGCAGTTTAATGCTGGAGCGTGAGTGCTGGTATTTGGGCTCCAAGCTGCCTCCACACAGGCCCACAGGGTCGGGTTAGGAGCGACCAGGGAGGCTAGCCAAGCCACGGGGCCTGAAGCAGTGTCCACACAGGCACTGAAGGCTGCCTCACCAGCCTGGCAGCCCTCACAAAAGGGATCCTCTCCCAAACCTTTAAACAGGCCCTTGTTTGCTCTCGGCCAGCCCACACCCCCAGGGGACGGGATGGGTGGGTGTGAGAAACCCCATAAACCTCAAGTCTAGGACAGGAAAGCCAGGCCTGGTGCTAGCTGGGACTGCAGTCCTAAAACCTGCTTTCCTCCCAGGAGACCAGGCTTTCAAAGGCCTGGATGTGCCCAGGCGGGTCCCCTTGAGAGGCTGCCTGAGACCTGCTGGGGCAAGTCCTGGGGTCAGTGCCCAGAGCTGTCAGGGGGAACTGGCACTTGCTTTGTCCTGGGTGCCAAGGTGAGGCCTTTGATGAGGCCTCCCTGCCAGCTCCGGGTCCTGGTCCCAGCATTGCCAGTTAGTCCAAAAGACCCTGCTGACCCCAGCTACATACTGGGCAGGCTGGTGAGGGGCATCAATCTCTGCACTCGCAAACCTGTCTGTTCAGTTCCTTCAGGGTCCCTTAGACGGCAAAGGGAGGGGGACATGAGGGCTGAAGGGAGGTGCCAGTGGAGATCAGAGCTGGGAAAATAGCCCTCCACCCTTCCTCTTCCACTCGGAGCTGGCGTGTAAAGCACAGCCAGGCCACCCAGCCTCATAGCCGCCCACGCTGCAGGGCTGCATGCTAACACGCTCCTGGGAGCTCAGGCTTCTGCAGCGAGGGAGGCCCTCGGATGCATCCCTTCCCTTCTGTTCTGCAGAAGGAGAAACAGAGCCAGGGAAGGGGAGATTCCTGGGCTTCAAGAGGATGCCCACTTGCTCTAGCCCACCTGGCCTAGAGGCTGCTGCTGAGTGTGGAGTCTCGCCTGCTGTGCTCTCTGCTAGGGCCCTTCTTCTATGCCATAGCCTCTCTCCAGAGCCACCAGACTTGGCACTGGAAACATTCTCCCTGGCTCACTGCTGGCCCACCCACACTTTCCACCCCGACCCTCTTCACCAGCAATCCCAGAAGCCAGAGGAGCTTCTGGGCTGGCCACTGGGAGTGGGGGAGGGAGGCCCCGCCTCACTGCAGACCTCAGGGCTCCTTGGCTTTGTGGATTCAGTGACTGTTTAAAACTTTAGAGGGAAATTAGGTACCGCAGCTGAAACCCCACTGACCCTGTGCAACTGGGGAAGTAGGCCTGGTGAGAACTTAGGGCGAGACGTTAGCAGCACAATGCTCCCTGTTCAATCTCTCTCAGGGCACATGCACACACTTTTGCTCCTGGCCAGAACCACGAGCGTGCCCACACTCATCCACACCCAAGAAAAGAGGTTTCTATTTTTTGTGTGTGTTGTTTTTCATTTTTTTTTCTTTTTTCTTAAAAAGGACTCATCCAAGTATCTGGATAATAAATCATTAGCGTTTCCTAAGAAACTGGGTTTTTCTTTTCCCTTGTGGTTTTGGTGTTTTTCTTCTTCTTTGAACCTTCCTAAGCGATCTGAAGCATTCTTTCTTTCTTTCTTTTTTTTTTCCTTTTCCTTTTTGCTTTTGGATGGGAGAAAACAGTTTGTCTGAATTGTACTTAACTCTTCAGAGAGAAAAATGGTGTGAAAGAAGAAGGTGCTGAGGGAGGAGGGAGAAATCAATAGCAAGGAAGAAAATGAAGGAGTCTGAAACCAACATAACCCAGAAGTCCCAGGGCTCAGGGGGGCAGGGAGGACCACCTCCTTGCTCCCCTAACTGCCTCTGCAGGCTGCAGCCCCACCCCAGTTTCCACACCGAGGCGAGGTGGGAGAGACAGCAGGGGATGGAGAACGCGGTCTCTGGACAGCGGAGTACTCAGACCTCCTAAGGCTGGTTGTGGTGGGGGTTGCGCAAGGGGAGGAGGAGGTGGCCAGGGGCGACCCCGGCTGTGAGCTGGGGTGGGGGGAGACAGAGGCTCCAGTGCCCAGCAGGAGGCCACCCTGGGCCTCCCTGGCCGCCCCCTGCCAGTCCCTACCAGCTCAGCTAGTGCAGTTTAGCAGTCCCCGTCAGTCGTCATGGCCACCAGCATTTCGCTCTTGCCCATCTCCTCCAAGGCACTGGCCAGGCTGTTGAGGTCCCCGTCATCTTGCTGCAGAGCTTCCCAGAGGTCTAGTATCACACCCGTGGGGCTCGCTTTGGTGGCAAAGTAGTTCAGGTACCTGATTGAGGGAAAAAGAAGGGCATTGGGCTCCCTGAGGGCCAGACGTTCCAGGAGCTGTGGGTGAAGATGCACCAGGCGCGGAAGGCCGTGGGTTTTGGAGTCCCTCAGTCCTGGAGCTGAATCCCAGCTATCACAGCCACAGGCTGTGTGGCTCTGGGAAAGTCACTGCACCTCTCTGAGACTCGGTCTCCTCCGCAGCAGAAACGGGAACTGTCTTTTTGCTCATCCTTCATGGTTACTGCTGCTGAAAGACAGAGGCCCCTCCTTCCTCCCACCTAGCTCCAGGTCTGGTCTTGCCCACATCCTCTCCGATAGGGGAACCCTGGATGTCTCTGTAAGTCTGCCATTTCTAGGTAATGTCCTATATGTGACTTCTGCTCAGTGCAGCTTTAGTAAATGCCATTCTGGCATTTAAAGTTCTTGAGCCAACTTCTGACAAAAAAAGGTACAGCTGACCCTTGAATAACGAGGGGGTTAGCAGGGCCATGACCCTTGAATAACTAGGGAGTTAGCAGGGCCATTCCCCCCATGCAGTCAAAAATCTCCATGTGACTTGACTCTTCCCAAAACCTAACTGCCAATGGCCTGCTGTTGACAGGAAGCCTCACTGGTCACATAAGCAGTTAAATAGCACATATTTTGTTTATTCCACGTACCACATGCTATATTCTTCAATAAAGTTAGCTAGAGAAAGAAACTCAGGTGGAAGGGGAAACACATTCACAGCAGCAGGCTGGATTTTTCACGGTGACAAGTTTCTACCTTTCACCAGAAAACCTGTGCTAAGTGGCCCGGCCAGGCCCAAGCCTCGCTGACCAGGGGTCATGCATCTTAGCAAGCATCTCTAAGCATGTGCTCCATCCTGGGCTCGGGGCGCTCAGGCCCATGTCCTGGCTCCTGGCTGGTGTGGGCTTTATCTGTTGCTCAGGCACCAAAATCTTCCCTTCCAGGAAGCAGCTTCTCTGACTTGGCTCATCCGAGCCAAGCAAGTGGCTGTCTCTGGTGGCATCTGATCCTGAGACATCAGCCTGCCGGCTGGCCTGACCCTTTAGGGGACAAAGAAGATGGGGAGCACGCATGGTTCGGGTGGGGTGTACCTGAGCCTGCACTCACCGATCCATGGAGAGCTTCTGTGCCAACAGCCGCCAGTCATTGCCCCGAGAATTGGGGGCATCCAGGCTGTTGCATATCTTCTGGCGGATGGAGAGAGGAATCTTGAAGGCATAGGGTCCCAGCTGGGTGGTGACTGAGCTGCTGGGGGCAGAGCAGAGGGCATCCAGGGAGCCAGCAGGTGTCTGTAAAGGCAGGGCAAGGGTGTCAGGGGCAGAGGACGCCCCGTGCATGGCCTTGGCTATCGGCCTCTCTGGCCTTCCTGCCTTGGGACCGTGAGCTCATGCAGCATCTGGTCACTTTCTTCCAGGCAGGTTCCGGCAGCACAGACTAAGGACTTCTTCCCAGGAAGATCAGCTCTGGAGGGCCAGAGCTGCATACCCAACTCCAGGCCTGGCACATGCATCCTGCTGATGTTTCCCTGGCTTACGCCACAGCAGCCTCACAGGAAGAGGCAGGTCACAGCATAATCCACTTGCAAGTGGCTAGCCCAGGGTCACCAGATGCTCTTAAGGAGTCCAACCTAGACCTATACCCAGAGCTCTTTTTGCTGCTGGGCAAGGAGGGACTAGTGCAGGGTGGTCTGGGCTTCGCAGACCTCACAGGCTGTCACAGGAGCCCTTACCTCCGCCAACACGGTGTGCAGCTGGAGTATCTGGCCTTCTCCTTCCACCTGGCGCACACAGATCTTGCAGGTGAACTCTGTGGAGGCCAGGCTGTGCCGCTCCAGGGTGAAGGTGCAGTGCAGGGCCTTCTGGCTGCCACTCCAGATGTGATAGAAGGGGATCTCCTGGGAGGGGGTGGGGGTCAGGGTCAAGGAAGAGCACATCCTCCCCCGCCCTCGAGCAGCAATGGGGCCAGCCACAGGGAGCGGGAGAGCGCAGGTCTCTCGGCCCAGGGGCGCAGAGGAAGCACTGGTCACCGTGCTGTCACCAAGAAAGGAGTGTGCAGGAAAGGCACATTCTGAGGCTCAGTGTGTGCCTTCCCGGGTATCGGGGGCTGGTGTCACACAGATTGGGGGGCAGAGGGATGAGGTCATCAGAGATAGCTTGTATTGTCTCTCGGGCATGAACGCTTAGAGATGGGAAGGCCTGTTTGAAGATGAGGGGTGCAGATATTTGCATGTGTGTGTGTGTGTTGGGGGGGGGCTGTGGTTGACACAGCATGTGAACACGTGCCTAAGCTGACCGTGAGGGAGGGTGAGAGGGACGCGGAGAGGACAATGAGACGCCAGGGAGGGGCAAGGCTACACTTGGGAAGGGGAATTGCACCCCCCACGCCCCCCACCCCCGGCAGTCCTCATGTGTGCCCTCTTCCCAGCTCCACCCCTCCCCTCCTGGGCCCAGCCCTCACCTGGTACTTGGCCAGCAGCTTGCTCCTCCAGTGGGCGTGGGGGAGGTCATGGAGGGAAAGGCGCAGGTTATGGTAGCTGTCCTTAAACAGCAGCGGTTTTGGCTCCTCCACTAGGTAGCCACCCAGAGTCCGCTCCAGCTCTAGCACCTCCTGCGGCCGGGAGGGGAAGAGACGGGGCCCATCATACTTGGCCAACAGGCTCTTTCCTGCTGCAGGCTTGGGGGCTGGGGAGAGGGAGGGCAGGCAGATGCAGGCTGTCACATCAAGGGAAGAACTAGTCTGAGCACAGTGCTGGGCACTGCTGAGTGTCGGAGCTGGCTCACAGGACAGGGAGAAGAATGGATGGGTGGGTGGATGAACAGACATGGATAGACGGATGGATGAATGGATTTATAGATTACTGGATGGACAGATGGATTGATGGTGAGGAATAGACAGGCAGATGACATGGAGATGGACGGACGGACGGACGGGTGGATATACAAACGGAAGGCTATCCTGATGAACAGGTGGACTGTTGACTGAGTGTATAAATGGATGGATGGATGGGTGAGGAGTGAGTCAACAAAGAATTCTATCAAGCCGACTAATGGTAACTTCCCTCTTGATCTGAATTCCCTTCTCTGATCAAAGCTAGAACATTAGCCAGTGCCCTCACGCTGAGAGATCCAAGCAGCAAGACCATTTCCCTGGAGTCTCAGTGAGTGCATGATGGGCCTCATGGAATTTCAGGTGAGCCTGGCCTCAGCGGGACTCTCACTCTCCCCCGCGGCCTTCGCACCCACGTTGCATCAGTCTGCAGCTTGCAGTCTGAGCCAGAGGCATGAGACTGGGAGATGAGGGAGCTGGAAGGGACCACAGAGCATGGGTGGAGGAGGCAAGGTCCTCTGGGAAAAGCACAAAGGACTCGAAGCTTCGTTGAGAGGTGAATGGAAGGATGGAGACAGGACGGGGGTTTACCCAGGGCCAAGGGTTTATGGCCTTCCGAAGTCCAGAGGAGACTGGGTGCAGGCACAGGGCGGAAGAGTAGACTGGGACTCTGAGGCTCAGGGGACAGTGGACTAGGTGGCGTGAATACAGGACTCCACACCTGCCATCATCAGGTGGCAAACTCTGGTCCCTTCGAGCTGCACTAAACCACCCCTCCCTGGCACAGACCCACTTCGGGGTGCTGTTTTGAGCATACACCCGGGGCCTGGCTGGCTCCGGCTCCTCTTGCTCCCCTGGCCATCTCCTCAGTCACCAGTTCTGTCCATTCTACCAGCAAAGCAGTCCAGCCCCTGGTCCTCGCCATGGACACTGCCTGTTGCCCCGGCGGCTCGGGGTCCAGCTGCCTCTCACCTACCCACCTTGGCAGTGCAGCCACAGGGGCTTTCAGAGAGCACCTGTGACCAGGTCTCAGGCCTGTACGCCTTCCCCCCACCCCGGACAGGTTCCAGCTCCTGGCATGGCCCCCACGTTACTGGGAAGCCGAGCCCACCGTCTCTCCAGCCCGTCTCTCCTCACTCATATCCCTGCACGCCTGGTCACAAGGAAGGACACTCCTGCCGGCATGGGCCACTGTCTCCTGGAATGCTCTTACCTCTTCTCGCCCGCAGCCACAAAGCGTCATTCAGAACACAGATCCAAGGTCAGCTCTGCTGTGAAGTCTTCTCAGGCCCTCCCCAAGGACCCGGCCCTGCCAGCCCTCCCAGTTTGGTGTCCCTTGGCCCTCTCTCAGTGACACCCTCGGGCTCCCACTCTAGCCTGAGGCCCTTTCGGCATCTGAGGAAAGAGTGGATGAGGCTGATGGAGGTGGAGGGGTACCCGGCCGGTACCATGATTCGGGGGCTGGGGGGACATTGGGAGGTGCTATGTAGCTGGTTGGCCAGCGCTGGGGGGATGCACCCACCATGTCTGGGTGCCCGTGGCCGGGCCTCACCTTTAGCGCTGCAGGCGTGTCCTCCAGGCAGTAGACCCTGAGGCTGTACTCCAGGGAGGTGCAGAGCGCGGGTGCGAAGATGGCCAGCTGGAGCCGCTTGACTGCCGAGCGGGAATAGGACTCACCCGTGAACACATAGGTGCCCAGCTGGTCCAACAGGATGTGGCAGGACCTGGCCTCCAGCTGGCAGTAGCAAGGGGTGTTCAGGGTCTCCTCATCCAGGGTGACCACCTCCTGCAGCGTGGGAGTAGGGTGAAGCATATGGGACAGTCAAGGCCCTAGAAGGGTCAGTCCAGGCTGGGCCAGGCGGAAAAGGGCTTTTGCTCCCTCCTGAGGCCTCGGCAGCTCAGCAAATCACCCAGCCCGGGCTCCTCACCTCCCAGTGGCCCTGATGGGCCTGGGTCTTGAGCTGGAAGATCCAGTCCCCGGCACTGACTTCGGCACAGTGAGGCACTGTGAGGATGACCGGGCGGCACAGCAGGAGGCCCGTGGGCCCGCAGGTCACTGCAGGGCTCAATACTGTCTGGGTCCCTTCCGAAAGAGGGCTGGGGCAAGGCAGAGGGCAGGAGAGCGACAGTGAGGGGGCGCTGAAGCTCAGCCAGGACCCTGGCTGGTCCCCCACTTCTGCTCCCGGGCTGGTGGAGGGCCAGTGTCCAGCCCAGGATTGGGGGTTTAAGGAGAGGTAGAAAACTAGCTTAGACCTGGAGACTTCCCAGGTTACTTTTGTATTGCAACAATCTCACAGCCAAATCTCTGCTTCCGTTTTTGAAAGATTCTGCACTCTTGGACTATTTTTGGTGGGTGTTGCTGAACTGCCTTCTGAAAGTCGGTCCCACCAGCATGCTACAGGGAGGACCGTGTTTCTACATGCTTGCCAACGGGAAGGTGTCATCATTTGAGAAAACTCTGCAAACTCACAAAGCAAAACAACCTCCCAATATCTCATGGCTGCCTGAATTACTACCACTTTGACTACAAACTAGACTGAACATTTTCTTATAACCTAGTAGCCATTGTGTGTGTGTGTGTGTGTGTGTGTGTGTCCTTGTATAAATCTGGGTAGAAGAGTGTATGTGAATCACTTGTTAATTTTTGCCCATTCTCATACTGAGATGTCCAATTTTTCATGAGTCCCTAACGGCTCTACCTAGGAGGACATCAGTCCTTTGTCATATTGTAGCCAGCCTGTCAAATCAATAGATCTAAAAGGACTAGCTCTGAATTTCCGATCAGACTTAGAAGGGGGGATAATATTTGAGCCCCAGATGGGAGAAGAGGAGGCAGCAGCTTGGTCTGGAGCTTCTACTTACAGGGTGTTTTCTGCCTTGTTGATAAGGAGGTACATCTCATAGAACTTGCCCTGGGGGATGGCTCCATGGGGTACCAGCAGGCTGACCCCTAGGGTGAGAGAGAGGTCAATAGGATGGGGTGGTGGGAGTCCAGGAGCTTAGGGCAAGAGGTGGCCCCCAGCTTGGAGCTGCTGGGAGTCCCTACTGAGTGAGTCCCTAACAGCTCTACCTAGGAGGACATCAGTCAATCCCTTGTCATATTGTAGCCAGCCTGTCATAGGCTGGGCACTGTGATGGTGCAGGGAGTGGGTACCCCAACTGAAGAAAGCCATCTCTTGACTCCAGGTGGTCATCAGCACAGGTGGGAGACAAGATCTGGGGACTGGGTGCAGGCAGGGGCCTGGCCACTGAGCGCAGCCAGAGTGGTGTCTGGCGTGGCGCCGGGCTTGGAGGCAAAGGCCTGGAGTCTGAGGGCCCAGTGCTACTCTAGCCCTCGTGCAGCGAATGCCACTGGGAAACTGAGCTGCTGGCTTTACAACGGGAGCTGGGCACCCTGCCCTTTCTGCTGCTAGACCCAGGTTGGCACTCTGTAGGCTTGGTGGCCTACATGGGGGCCTCTCCCTCATTTAGATGCAGAGATGGATCCTTAGAGTGGCTTGTCTGAAGTTCCCTGTCCTAGCGAGGCAGACAGAACTGGACTCCAGGCCTTCTACTGTGTTATCTCTTCCTTTGGGCCTCACTTTCCCAATCTGTGAAATGGGATTAGGGGAGTCCTAGCCTGTGGGGTGGGTGTTGAGCGGTCCAGAGAGGTCACGCTGCAGCCAGGCTGACTGGCAAGCAGAGAGGGGGCCCACCTGTGCCGGGGATGCTGAGCCTCCCCCCCAGGCAGCCGAAGGTGCCACTGACGCTGCTCCCTGGGTCACGGGGCAGGCCCACGAGCTGCTGGGAGCCGAGGCTGGCGCTGCGAAGGTGCAGGAAGTGGGCATCCCGAGTGAAATCTCCTGGGTACGTGCCAGGAGGCAAGACCCCCAGCAGGTCGGCCCCGTCTGGCAGGCCAGGCCCGGAGCCGGTGGTGTTGGAGTTGTAGACCTTGATCTTGAGACTGGGCAGGGGGTCCAGCAGGGGTGAGTTGGTCATGGGGATCTTGTCAGCTGAGTCCTGCAGGGCATACACGGGCCCACGGTACATGCCGGCGCTGGCTGTGAGGTCTGGAGGCGCAGTGGGGTGCAGGAGCTGCGGGTTGTCTGCAGGGGTGGGCGCTCCAGTCAGACCCAGCAGCATCTCACTGGCCCAGTTTTACCCTTGGCCCCTGCTGGGCGTCCTTCCGTTGCAAAAGACCTAATTGCCAACCACTGTAGGAAGTGGGGACCCACCCCCCGGGCCACGCCTTTTTCCTTTGCTGCCTCTCGCTAATCCATACTCACCAACACAGTCATCCTCAGAACCAACTGTAGAACCCGCAGGAAGCAGGAACCCCCACGCTGGTGTGGCTGGCTGGCCGGCTGCCACGTCCCAGCAGGAGCCTTCCCACCACCTGCCACCCCAGGAGGCCCCATGTCCTTACTGGGCCTCGCAGTCTTGAAGTTGACCGGGTGGAAGCCCCCAGTGAGGGCAGCGGAGGAGTCGGTGATGTCCGTGTCGAAGTCCCGGCAGTTACGGCGGTACACCACGACCCCCACCACCATGAGGACGGCCACGACCACGAAGATGGACACCACGAGGCCCGCGTACAGCGCCACGTCCCCCGAGGCCTCCAGGACTGCGGGGACAGGAGCGCCATGTGAGCGACAGGACCAGGACCCAGGACTTGGGGTCCCTGGAGAGAGGCAGGGCCTGGGGCGGGCTGGCACCAAGCTGGGTTCCAGCCCAAGCCCTCCCAGGAGAGGCTGGCAAGCTCAAGTCCTCCGAGCATCAGTCTCTAGAAGTACAACAGATGCACCCCCCTACCCCGTTCCCCTAGCAGGGCGGTGGGAAGAGCGCAGGAGTCAGGCTTGCTCCCACAGATTAACTCTTGCCGCAGAGGGCACAGGGTCTTTGGCTCTGGGTCCCAGGGCCAGTTTGTCCTGTGGAGCTGGGATTTAAGCCTAGAAGCTCAGCTCACAGCACTCTCCACAGGACCAAGGGGCCAGCTATCCAGAAGCCTTTGGAAGCTCTGAGCTCTGAGGGTAGGAGGTGGATGGGAAGGGGCAGGAGGGCAGCAGGAGGAGCGAGAAACATGGCGATGGGGCGGACAGCAGGTGACGGAGGGAAGGAGGGGGGGAGGCAAGCCATGGCTACGCATCCCTCCCCCAGGTAGGCTGCTGGGCTGGCGGGCACCCAGGTCTGGGTGGGGAGCAGGGCAGGCTGTTGCACAGCTTGAAATAAAGAGGCAGGGCCTGAAGTAGGGCTGCCCAGTGGAACTTTCTACAGCGGTGGAAATAGTCTCTGTGCTTCCCCACAGGACAGCCACGAGCCACATGTTTGGCCCCTGGACAACTGACATGTGGCTGAGTTGCTGAGTTCTAAAATGCTTTTAATTTTAACTTGGTTAAATAGAGGTTTAACTCGTCACACGTGGCTAGTGGCTCCGGTGCGGGTTCCAGCCCAGGCAGAGCCAGGAGGGCTGAGTGCCCCCTTGCTCTCTTGGGGCTCTGGGGAGCATCCTCTCTCTCCCCTCCCTGGGCAGGCTTCTAAGAGGCTTTCCCTGCTCGGACACCTCCAAGCCCCACTGCCCTGGTGCGGGACTGGGCATGTCCACCTTCCTGCTGGACCCAGCCTGCATTCGTGGGCTCCTGGAAGAACTGCAAGAGAAGCCCCCTCAGGGCTGGGCTCCCACTTCTCTAGGGCCTTTGACTCCCTGGGCTCAGCTCTGCTTCTCCTGACACTGGAGGCCACTTGCCTGGTGATTTATAATCTTTAATCAGTCACCAGCCTGGCCCCCGAGTAAGCTGGGCTGGAGCCTCACTGCTGTTTTTATGATTCCAGAATCACTTGGAAATTGTAGTTTAATTACTACAGGCCAATCTGCTCAAGTGGCTTTATTGCTCTGGTGTGGCTGCAGCTCTGTATAGCCCCTGGGGGCTGGAGGATGAGCCCCTGGGGGGCTGATGCAGGGCAGCGAGAGACCCAGAGAACATGGGAAGCTTCAGTCCAGCTGTGGGAGGACAGTGGGGGCCGTGGGGTGGACAAGGGGACCAGGCTGGAGCTCCAGCTTCGGCCATAAAATATTTTGGCTCAGATCCTGGCTGGATCCTTGGGTGAGTCCCTTCTGTTTAAGTCAGGGTCCCTCCCATAATGGGTGTCCGAGGGCCTTTCTGCAATGCAGGAACTGTCTGTCCGCCCATGACAGAGGGCGTGGCACTGCCGTCAGAGTCCGGCCTGGGGAGTCCTGCGTGGGGGTCAGTGGGGGAGCAGCACCTTCAACTCTCCCTGTCCCTTGCCCTGCCCTGCCCCTCACACCCTAGAAAACCAGGCAGGGAGAACCAGAGGAAAGAGGACAGCCATGAAATGGGACTTACGGTGGCTTTTGGGGTCACTTTGAGTTTTCGTATCTGTCGAGGGAAATAAAGGGAAAGACAATGACACAGGTGTGGATGGGGGAGGGAGAAGGTGACAGGGAAATGGAGCAGATGCGATGATGGATGTGGTAGGCAGGCACAGACCCCGAAGGCACTGGGGCCGGGGGTGGCTGGGCTGGGGGGTTCCCTCACCCGCTGCAGAGCCCCCACCTTCCCGAGGACTCACTCTGCATACACAGCCCGTCGGTGCAGTTCTTGGAGTCCAGCAGTGCCCCGCTGCAGTCTCGGCCTCCGTTCTGGGGCGGGGGCGCCATGCACTCACGGCTGCGCCAGTGGGCACACTCGGTGCTACAGGCCGACCACTTGCTCCACTCTGTCCAGGCCCCATCAACTGTGGGAGCACGGCACACGGCACATGGAACACACACATGCACACACATGGTTATGTGGGCAGAGCAGAACCATCTATCCCCACACGAGAAAATGCTCCCGCACGTGTGTGCACACACACATATTGTGGCAGGGAAAGAGAAACCCAAGACACACACAGGCCACACAGAGAAATCCATGCCCTATCATGCAAGTCCCTGACAATGCAATGCAGGTGGACAAAGAGGGCCCTCCCTGATGGGCTAGGGGTTAAGTCTCAGTGCTATTATCACTGCAGCCCAAGTTCAACCCCAGCCAGGGAGCTGACCCACAAGGTGCGGCAGACCTCTCCTGCCTCACGCTACTCCCCTCAGCAGTGTATTTCAGTCAGTCCGCCTGTTCTGCTTCCTACTCTGTCTCTGGTGGATCCTCTCATCCCCACACCTCTGGTCTACACCCCAGTTCTTCTATGCATAAATAAATTAAAAAAATATATATCAGCAGGCCCTCCCTGGTGGCGCAGCGGCTTAAAGCACAGCACTAAGAAGCTAAAGCCACTTCAGCATGAGTTCAATCCCCGCCTGCCCTGGAGGGGACCCACATGGCTCAGTAGACCTCTCTTGACCGCTTGCTGCTCCCCTCAGCAGCGTACTTCGTCAATCTGCCTGTTCTGCACCCCACTCTGTCTCTGGTGAAGCCTCTCACCACCCCTGCACCTCTGGCCTATACCCAGTTCTGTATGCATAAATAAATTAATCTTAAAAAAAAATCACCAGATGGACAAAACAATCACAAATAGATTCCCCTGGTCATTCCCAAACACAGCCCAGAGCACTGGCAGACACACAGAGATACAACCCAGGGTAAACACGCACCCCAAACACAAGACCAAAGGGAGAAAAGACAGCCAGACACGCAGGGACAGACAACAGACGGGGCAGAGTGAGGCAGCAGAGAGGAGGAGATTGCTACAGGATGAGGGCTGGTGACGGTGTGTCCCACTGCCAGGTGTGGGAGCCCAGGCTCCCTAACCCCAGCAGTTTGGGGTTCCAGCCCAGGTGCTGACACCATCAAGCTCCAGACTGCAGCTCAGAGCCATTGTGTCTGTCTCTCCAGCAGCCCAGGCTAGAACAAGAGGGCACGGGTCATGGCATCAGGTGCGCCTGGCCAGCCAGCCCCGGGCTCTGGGATAAGCACCTGCTCCCCGTGATGGGGAGAGAACGGCTGTTCGGATGGATACCCCAGCACAGCGGGGGGTGCCACCTGACCAGGGCCTTACCTGGGCACACGGTAGTGCAGGCGGTCTTCTGGAAGGCCTGGCCCTCGCAGAAGGCTCCTCCGTTGAGGGGGGCAGGGTTGGTGCAGGTCCGCGTGCGCTTCTGCCAGCCGCGGCCACAGCGGTTGGAGCATGGCGACCACTCTGCCCAGCTGGACCAGCCTCCATTCACTGTGGGGACAGTAGCAGTCACCGGCTGACCTGGTCTGGAACCCTTGGGCCTTCCAAAGCCCATCCCCCATTCCTGATGAGGCTCCACCGTCCACTGAGGCCTGGCCCTTCCTAGTGGGACCCTCCTGCCTGCCATTCTGGGGACTCAGATGCCAGTGGGGAGGCCAGGGCGGCCATCACCAGGCCGGCAGGGGACCCAGAGGTCACTGCTTATGCCCCTCCCCATTGCTCAATAGCAAACGAAGGCCCAGAGGGACGGACACTCCCCAGGGCAATGGGACACTACCCTGAGCAATGGGAGCCGAGACAGGGCCTCTTCTGTAATGCTCACATCTGTGGTCCTGCCCCTCCCAACCAAGGGCCCAGCAGAGGACAGCAGTGGATGAAGGGAACAGCCTATAGGCCTAGCTCTGTCAGGATAACAGATGCTATGACATGGGCCACCGGAGCCCTGTCCCTGGCTGACCCCAGGAGGCTGGCTCTTCGCCTTCAGGACTCTGCAAAGGACCCTGAGAAAGGGTGGGTGCACCTGGCTGGGGCTTTGCTGTGTGACCCTGTTGAAGTCAGCTCAACTCCCTACCTGCTCACCAGGGAGAGGCCTGTTGGGCCTCTGGGTTGGCTGGGTCAGGAGGGCCATATAGCCCAGGCCTCTGCCGCTCCCTCAGCCAGGCCCACTCCTCCCAGGGGCCCTCCCCTGCTCCAAGCCCGCACCGTAGACGATGACCGTGGCCGTGGTGCTGCGGCGCTTGGCCACGATGTTCTTGGCCACACAGGTGTAGTTGGCCGTGTCCGACAGGCGAGCCTGGCGGATGATGAGGTTGTGGTCGATGGTGAGCAGGAAGTTAGTGTCGTGGGTGGGGTCGATGACATCCTCATTCTTGAGCCATTCCACCTGTGGGATGGGGTGGGGGGTGAGGGCCAGGGCCTGCACCCCTGCCTGCCGGGGAACGGGCCCTCTGGAGCGGCAGGGAGGTCTGGCCATCAACGAACAGCAATCTAGAGTCACTACCCCATAGTGGCGACAGCAAGGCAGGGCCAAGCACTATGCAGGACCCCTAAGAGTGGGTAACTCGGCCAGCCCCCTGCTGGGCAGCCTGGGAAGGGACTCAGACCAGAGCCTCAGTGTTGACAACTGAGAGATGGACTTGAACAGCACCTCTCCGCAGGACTAAACGAAGTGTGGAGAACAGCACTGGGCTTGCAGTGACTACTCAGGAAGCCAGTAGCCCAGACAGGCATCTCCTCCAACTGGCACCCTCAGTCAGGGCCAGAGGCCAGCAGGCGAACAGGGACCCTGTGTCTGGCAGACTGGGGTGCAAACCCCAGCTCATGTCAGTGCTGTGCTCGCGTGGCACCCCGGGCTGCCACGCCCGCCCTGCAGGGGTGCTGTGAAGACCAGTGTGCCGAGTGTCCAGCACAGGTGGGCGAGGTGGCAGCTCCCACCTCAGGCGTCTGTCTGGGCCCACTTTCTGGGCGAAGGCACAGGCAAGAAGGAGGCATAGCGACTAGAGCAAGGTTCTGGGTCCCATGGGGCTGAAACGGAGGTAGACTGAACTGACAGGGTCTGCCCCAGACTCCGATCCTGCCAGAGCCCCCAAAAGTGAGGCTGAGCCGTGAAGGGGGAGGGGAGCGCACCTGGGTATAGGCTGGAGCTTTGGCAGAGTGGGAAAGGTGAGAGGCTCAGGTGAGACTGCCCAGGGGGAGGCCAAGAAGCAAGGGAGAGAGGTGGTCGGTTTTGGGGATGCGTCTGGACTTGGACATGAGCATTATGAGACCTTGTGGCACCCCAAAAACTGGGGTCTGGGCTCTGGGTGGGCAGGCAGAGACAGTGTGATGCTCATGGGCTCTTCCTGTGCAGGAGACTGAGCCCAAGGGAACCCGGGGCTTCGGCCCCAGCCTCCTGGCAGCCTGTGGGGTTAGGTCTGTGGGCTGCCGGGGGCGTCTGGTGGGTGCCGAGCTCTGCAGGGAGCAGTTCCCTTCTCCTTCTCAAGCCTTGAGAGACTGGGCATCATGACTGCTAGTAAATACCATGGCTGGCTGGCCCCTGCCTTGCCGAGCATTGCTGATGAATCCCACTCACCTCAGCCACAGGTACCCCCTCTGGTGGGCGGCACTGCAGGAGAACTTCATGGTCCAGGGGCACTTCCTTGCCCAGAGGCTCCTGATCAAAGTTCTTGCGCAAGTCTGGGTAAAGGGAGAGGAGTGGGGTGGACAGTCAGGCCGGCAGAGGTAGGCCAGGAAGAGCTGAGCTGACGAGCTCCCACTCTCGCCGCTAGGTGGCAGTGCACCCCAAGGGAACATTTATGGGGCCACCTGGTCTTTTCCTGGGGAATTTTCTCGCCCCCAAGGGGGCGTCTCAGGTGGAGTGGGCTGGGTTCTGGGAGGGATATAGGTTCCCTTCCTGCCTGGGTCATCCTAAGCACTTGGTGGGCCAGTTCTGGCAGGAAGCTAGCAGCTGTCTCATACAGAAGTAGGGTGAAAAAGTGCTGTAGATAGCACAGGTGGGAGCCCAACACGTGGCAGAAATCCTGGGGTCACAGGTGGTCCAGGGGAACGGGTGTGGGTGTCGGGGGTGCATACATGCGATGCGGACGTAAGCCCGGAGGCTCTTGGTGGTGCCTGCAGAGCTCCAGGCCACGCACTGGCACCAGTAATCCTCCAGGCCGAACAGCTCCTCCACCTGCTGCCGGGACACCTCAATCTGCACCTCTCGCACGCGCAGGCCTGCGGAGAGAGGCACGGTCAGGCGTGGGTCTGCGGGTCTGCGGCGGGGCCAGGGGCAGCGCACCGTGACAGCACTGTCCCTCACCTCCCCCGAGGCCTGTTGGCTGTTCTGCCAAGTGCCTCTCGTGTCCATTTATCTCTCCTCTGCCTCCACGCTAGCCCCAGTCACCATCTGGACATTGCCAGGCTGAAGCCAGCTCTCTGTTCCCACCCAATCCGCTTTCCACCTGCAGCCAGGGTGGGCTCTCAAAGTGCACAAAATGGCAAGTCAACCCCCGCTCAGCACGAAGACACCCACTCTCCATGTGGCCTCCAGTCCCCATGGAATCTACCCACTGGGGCTTCACTGGGCATCTCCAGTCTCTCGTGTTCCCTGGGCCCCTTGACCTCAAGGCCTCTGTACACGCCGTCGCCTGTTGGCAACCCTCCTCCGTGTCTTCTGTGCCCAGTGAACTCCGGTCACTGTCAGCTTCGGTCACTGTCACTTTCAGAGCGACACTTCCCCTGACACTGACCGACACACCCAGCGCTCAGAGTACCGCTCAGCCCTCCTTCCTCTGCACCAGAACCTGGCCTGTGCTTTGCTTCCCCTGCCTGGCCTAATTTCTCACAGCACCAACTGCTATCTGTGTTATCTTCTATAGACGCCCAGTGTGGAGAGTCAGGTGGATTTTACCCAGCCTTCTGCTGAGGACCAGGGCCTGGGACAGAATAGAGACCCCAAAATATCTGAAGAGAGTCCTTGACCTCTCCTGGCTCTCTGCTAGGTCTGGATAGCTGGATCCACCAGCCCAGTCCAGAGAGGGGAGTCACCCACTCGTCTGCCAATCCTCCCTCGACGAAGTCCCCTACGGTCCGAAAAGGTATGAACCTGGACTAGGCCACCATGGCCGCTGAGAAGCAGGGCTGTTCTGAGGGCAGGACTATCAATTGTACACATAGTGGTCTGTGGCTGGACAGGTTTGAGTCCTGACTCCAGCCAGCTGTGTGACCTTTGTTAAGTCACTCAGCCTCTCTGAGCCTTACTCGGTTTCCTTGTCCAAAGACTCAGGGTAACTCTAAATGAGTCATAGAATGACTCTGCCACAGCACCCAGCCAGGCTGGGCACACATCTAGGATGTCAGGTCATCTGGATCTCATCTAGCCTCTGCCTTGTATATTTGGAGAAACTGAGGTTCAGCAAGTATACGCGGTGGGCCCAAAGTCCCTTAGTAAGTTGTCAGCAACACTGAGGTCTGCTGTCTGGGATCTTGCCTGGTTTCGAGTTCTTTCCCCTAATACGTGATACCTCTCTGGCCCTCTCCCAGTGGGGTGATCGCCTGAACTCTTCTGTATTATGGGGGTGAGGGACCTTTACCGTGGAGCCCAGACAATTGTGAGCTCCCTCCTGCTGATGAGGGTTCTACATGGGGGTGGGGACGTGGAGTTTGGTGTCAGATACACAAGGAGAGAGGAGGCTGCTGGGGCCAGTGGGCTCTGCCCACTTGAAGTGGCCGCCTGTGATTCGGACTTGGCCCAGGGCAGCAGTACTGGTGTGTGGGCCTGACCTGCCTCTCCGGGACCTCAGCAACCATCCTGTGTCCTGGGCCTCAAGCAGGGCCAGGGAGGGCCAGGGCAGGAACCAGCCACACTGCTGCCAAGATAGTGGCCTCAGGACCATTGCCCGTCCAGCCCAGCTAACGGGAACAACAGTGCCCCAATTTCTAGGGCTGGCAGAGCTTGTATGCCCAGTAGCAGGGAGAAGAGCCTTGTCACCATTACTAATAATCACCAGGCCTGGGCGGGACCACAGCAGGGCACACTGTCCCTCTGCTCTGTCCAGCCGCACATGGCTAACTTCTGACAGACTGCGGCAGGGAAGAAGGACAGGGAGGAGCAGGAGAAGCAAGGAGGAAGAGGCGGGAGAGACAGAAGGAAGGAAGGCAGGGTTGAACAAAAGAGAGGACTGAGAAAGAGACGACCCTGAGCTTGGGGTTGCGGGGCTGCCTGAAGGTGACCCACAGCTGGTGCCCCCTCCAAAGTCAAAACAGGAGCCAAGGTGGTCAGCCACAGGGGCCCCCCTGAGCTGGAGGTGGCTGGGTGTGTGCTGGCGCTCCCCTCCTGAGCCCTGGAAAAGGCTTTGCATCCTGAGGCACCTACCACCGGGCCTGGCACAGGAGAGGCCTCTTGGCCTCAGGGGCACAGCAGGGAGATGTGAGGAGCCATCCCCACTCTCAGCCTCTCTTCTCTCTCTCTCTCAGGATGTGGGGTACAGTGCAGCTCCACCCACATGATGATTTACTTAGTCTGAACTTTTTTTAACCGAAATCAATTAAGTTCTAGAAAAGAGATGTCTCGTGATTGTGAACATTCAACAGTATCACAATCCACACACAGAAAGCAACCGAGCTCACGATGATCTGGGCTTTGGGGGGCTGGGGGGCACACAGGGCTTTGAGCCCCCTCCTAATCTGGGAGCACAGCAGACGCACACGAGTGCATGCGTGTACGGGGTGCTGGTGAGTGAAAGTGTCCCGCGCAGCCAGCAAGCAGGCTGGGAAGAAACCAGAAAACAGAGCACCACCAGCAAGGGGCTCACGCTAGCTGACCTGGTCACCAGCGTCAGCCTGTGACGTGTGTCCCGCGTCCAGGGAAGCACTGATCCAGAGGGGACACTGGGGCCCCGAAGGGCACCTTGCTGTGTAAGGTCACAGAGCCCAGGGCAGAGCCAGACCCAGGTCCCCACATACCCCTGCACCTGGGGGAGGCCTGGAGGATTGGGGGGCGGAGGGACTCACCAGTGGCCTCGTCCAGACCCTCCTGTGTGACGTGGTCATTCTGGCTGACCCACTCGCCGTTGCACTTGAAGTAGATCTGTGTGGCCGGGAAGGCCCGGCAGCGCAGCTCTACCGGCTTGTTCTTCACGATGTAGGCATCCTGCGGCTCCTGGAGGAAGTGGGGTAGAGGGTCTGCCGGGGCCGACGGGAAGGAGTCGGGGAGCACCTCGCCGCCACCGCCTGCGGAGTCAGTGCCTGTGGAGGGAGGGTTCCATGAGGCTGGGAGTGTGGCGTCCCACCCACTGCAGGGGCCAGACCCACCCCCCTGCAAGCAAGGGGCCACGCAGAGGAGTGGGCAGGGGAGGCAGGGGGCAGACAGCGGGAGGGAAGCTGCGGGGTCAGCTGTGACCTGGCCAGGCCTCAGTTTCCCTGTCCCACCCTGCACTGAAGAAGCCGCAGTACAGTGGGGTTCTACTTCCTCACAGATGGAGCCATCAGGGGGGCCCAGGCGGTGCAAAGACATCCCAGGCCCAGCTCCCTCCAGTTTCCCATGGTGAAGCCACAGTAATGAAGAGCTGGGACTGGGGCTGGGCCTGAGCGCAAACCAGGCCAGCTCTGCCCTGAAGCCATGGCTGCCCTTTACAGCCCCAGCCAGTCAGGCTGACGGACACAGGGAGCCAAGCCAGGCCTGCAGGGGTGGGGTGAGGGGGATGGAGTGAGGGCGCTGGAGCACCAGGCTGGAAGTCCCCTAGCTGGCACACTACCTTCCCCATCCCCCCATAGACCTCCTCCTCCAGGAAGACCCCCGCCTTCCTAGCCTGTCCACCAGGGCCACTTTCTCTCCTCTGTTCAGTGGCTCAGACCCACCCCTCAGCCTTGCTAAACTCAGCCAAATCCACACCCTCCTCCATACGGATGAGGAAACTTCAGAGGCTGGGAACACAGTGAGGCCAGGCTCACTGCAATCTCCTCCCCCAAAGGGGGCTGAATGGAAAGCCTGGCCCTCGCCTCCCTGGAAAGAACAGCACCTCAGGAGGTGAGACAAACAGGAAGGGAGGGGGCGGCCACCGAGGCGCTACGAGGGAGGGAAATCTGGCCGGCTGGCTATTGGTTTGCAAGCCACTTAGGAAAATCGACTTTCCACACGCCAAGCACAGAGTAATCAGGTGGCTGGGGACAAGCGGTAGGGGGCTCATCCTCCTCCCAACTGCTCCAGAAGAAACAGAATTCAGCTGCAAGGCGCAACTATCTCGCCAGCCCCTCCCCAGCCAGGACCTGGCTGGCGTCCAGCAGGCCTGAGTGGTCCAGGGAGCACCAGCTCTTGTTTATTCCCTCTTCCTACTCCCCTACCAAACCCACCCTCACCCCGTTCAGGAGGACACCATGGGACCTAGGGAGAAGAGCCAAGGGCACACTTGGCTTTCCAAAAGTAGGATGAAGGCAATGTGCCCGACAAGCCCACACTCTGTTGTCTCTCCCGGGGCGGACGCAAACTCCTGCTAAGGCTGGAGCTCTGAGAAAATGCCCCGCTTGTCAGTGGCTCTGGGATCTGGGAGGCAGGTGGTGTGTGTGTGTGGGGGGGGGGTGCCCTGGGTGAGCAAAGGGGTATAACTAGCAAGAGGGAATTTCAGTCCAGCTCCATCCAGGTTGTTCTATGTGACCCCTCTGACTTTGCTGTCTGGCCTCCGAGGAGGGCAGGGAGATGAACACTCATCCTCTCTGGTTTGTTTTTCAAATTACATGAGAACCTGGAGGGGGATGGCACTAGCAGATAGTAGGCACAGTGGCTGCATCAAAATAACAACTAATGCTCAGCACTTTAGGTAGTCAGTTTGCTAATTCTTGCAGCAACCTTGCAACATATATTACTAACCCACAGTTTGTGAAACTGAGGCTCAGAGAGGTTAAGCAACTTACCTAAGGACACACAGATTGCAAGAAGCAACAAGGTTTGAACCTAAGAAGTAGACTTCAGCGTCTGGGACATTGCCCTCCTGCCCGCTGGTGGAACAGCTTTGTAGTCCTGTGGTGCTCCCATGCCTGAGGGCCCTAGTAGACCCTGACGCTGGCAGGGACTCTGCAGCTTTTGCGGGGTCTCACATCAAAGGCCAGCAAAGCTGGGACGGTCTTTTTTTTTTTTTTTTTCCAAAACTGAGCAACCCGAAGACCACCCAAGGTAGGCAAGTGACTGACCCAAGGCTAACTGGTCAGTGGGCAGAAAACTGGGAATAGCACAGTGGATTTCTGAGGCGGAGCCCAGACTCCTCCACACCCATTTCCCTCTGCCAGGCAGAGATATTTTCTGTAGATAAGTTGGCAGCCTTTAGGGTTTGGGAATGTGGTCAGTTGATGGAGACAAGACAGTGCCCAGAAGGTGCACATGGGTCTCCCAGTGTCTTGAGAGCTGGTAGCAGGCCAGGTAGCTCAAGGAGAAGCGAAGAGGGGCCGTGGGCAGTGGGTAGCCCACTGGAACCCGGCCCACCTTCCTGCGCCAGGACCTTGCCCCCTCTTAGCCCAGGCCCTGGGTCTGACCCGTCCCTGCTGGCCTTACCAGCCCCTCCCCCAGTATGAAATGGGGGCACTGGCCTCCCTCTGGGGGTGGTGGCCATGAGAGAAGGGACTTGGCAGCCTGGGGGTGCAGTGCTGTTTGCCCTACCTTCGCACCACGCCACCCCAGGTGACGGCTGCCCTGGCTCTCTGCGGCACTGCGGGCTGTATTTATGACTTTGTTTTATAACCTTAATGCGTCTCATTTATAAAGCAGGCGCAGACGAGACTGAGGAAGGTAAACATTAGACATCCATTAGCGCACAGCCGGCCCAGAGCCCCGCCCCCGCCACCCCACCCCTTCTCTCAGCCTTGGCATGAAGATTCCTCTCCGCCTTGGTCGGCATCCCCACCAGGGCGTCTTCGTCATGGCAGTGCTGGGTAGCTGTGATGTCACTGCTGCTCCCTTGCCAACACCCCCACCCCCAGGCACTGCCAGGACAAGAGGAAGAAGAGTCCAGGCCTGACCTGAGATTCCTGGTCAGAGGGAAACGGGCAGACTACACAGTGGCTGGCATTAAAGGGGCAGGGGCACGCCAGGGCCCTGCAGTAGCCCCCTGCCAGCCAGTGGAAACTCTCCCTCCTCCTCGGCCCCAGTGACGGGGGGAGGCTCTCAGGTGTCCCAGATGAGGGTCACCCTGAGCCTGTCCTGTGGGTCACAGATTGGAGGGAGCAGAATAATTGAACGTTGAGGTTCCTGGTGCTCAGCCAGCCAGGCGTGATCAAAGGCCATTTCCTATCAACTTACTGAGCCTCACTGCAACCCTGCACAGGGGTTCCCAACTTTGGTCTTCAGTGCCTTGTTAATTTTTTAAGGTACCCCCAGGCTGAAAGAAATCCCTAGGAGTTCTGTTTATTAAATAGCTAGGCCTCAACAGCTTGTGTATGTATACATACATGTGTATATTTATATCCCAGAAACTTAATACCATTTGAAAAAAAATCATACACATAAATTGGAAGAAATATTTGTATTCCATTCTTAAAATAGTCTGTGACTTACTAATGGGGATATGAGAACCAGTTGGGTACTACACAACTTCTCAAGCCTTGGAAGGAGAATGGACACCGCCCCCCTCTGTGTTTCAGGGTGCTCCCAAATGCCGAAATCCCAGCTTTGCAAAGTTATGATGCCATCTAGAGGAAAGAAGTGTGATGTAATGTTGAAACTGCAAGCCAGCAGTTGCAGCGGCGTCTGGCGACAGTCCAGCCTTACTCTGTTTCCTTGAAGATTCAAATATCCCACAGCACCCCTGTGAATTTTCTGTAGCACCCAGGGGTGCTTCTGCATACAGTTTGGGAGCTCAGCTCTAAGTGTTTTGCCCCCCCCCATGCTACACAGAAGGAAACTGAGGCCAGAGAATGAAGAGACCTGGGGCAGGCGTATCAAGCTAGGGAGCAGCGGAGCTGGGGAGCGACTCCAGGAGGCGGGGTATCAGACTCTGACTTCTGGAAACTGGCACCTGTGGCCACGATGTGCCAGGCACTTCAAACATTTCACAATCCACACAGTGGGAGTTATCTCCCCATTTTACAGATGAAGGCTTGGGGACGGGGGCATCAGAGGGATGGTGTGGGGTCACCTCACTCCCGTCAGTGGGAGAATACTGGCCTCGGAGCCACATCTCTCAGCCACATATCTCCCTGGCTTCCCTTCAGCTGTCCACACTGCTCTATCTTTACCAGGGAGAATGAAGCGCCCAAGCAGCAGGATATCTTGCCTCTGCCCGGCCAGATCCAGAAGTCCTGCTGGTGGGAAGATGTCCCACATAGAGCAGTTTTTTCTAGCAGCCCAGCTCATGTATTTCTGGTCTCTGGGAAGCCTTTAAAGCTGCCACGAGCAGGGCCTGGCAATCCTAGGTGGAGGTAGGCAAGACAGTGCACCCAGCGTCAATATAAGTGCAGAGTCAGAACCAAGCAAAGAGTCCCCCAAGTCCAGAGCTGGGAGCTTGTGCCTCTGCTGGGGCTGGCTCTGCTTTGGGGCTTTCCTCCTGCTTTGGGGTCGATGTCCCCAACTGTAAAATCAGCCAGGTGGCCGCATCAGCCTCTCAAGCCTTACCCCGGTTCTAAAACTCGGAGACCTGAAGATGCCTTATGGAGATCTGCAGCCATATGCCAGTGTCTCGTTGAGTACACTTTTTCTTCACTGAGCAGATTTGTTTAAAGTGAGGTCACCTTTCTTGTCATTGGTATACACCACTCTCTGCACTTACAGGGGTCCTAGGGCACAATGTGGGGGGTGGAGGCGCCAGGGAGAGAGGAGGCAGGACCCTTTGCTGCTGGGCTCTCTCAGCTCACCTAATACAGCACAGAGGTGTCAGCTCTAAAAGGACCCGCAGTGCCTGTGTGTGGGGGGACCATCCAGACCCCAGATTCCGATCACTTCTAATAGATGTTTCTCTCCTGTCTGAGGTCTCTTGTCTGCTAGTCTCAATTACATAGTGATTCGCTGGTAGGGAGGTTACTTTAAGGACCTTCTCATCCAACATCTCCCTTCAGTGCTTCATCTAATCTTGACTTACATACTCCCAGGAGCAGGAAGCTCATTACTGCCTTTCTCAACCAGGCCTTCCTTTCCATAGACCAATCAGAAAAGTCTTCCTTACTTTCAGCTGAAATTTGCTCTCTGAGGATCCAGCCATTGCTCTAACTCTAACTCCTGAGGTTACACAACACAGCTTCTGCTCTCTGATAGCTTTCCAGCCTCT